TATATATTATTGTACATTGTATAAAATTAATTATTCTTTTTTCTTTAAGTAGAATATAATTTATTATTAAATTTAAATAAAGATATTCTGTTTGAAACATTGTTAGGGAATCTCAGGTTCCGGAAGGAATTTGCACTGTTATATAAACGTAAAGTCTAACTTGATGGTAAAAGACCATCAAATATATTGATTTTGTACATATGGTAGATATGTAATAAAATGGTAGATATGTAATAATATGGTCCTTAAGGACCATCAAATATATTGATTTTGTACATATGGTAGATTAGACCGTAAGGTCTAACATCAAGTAGACCAGGTAGACCAACAAACATAATATATTTTATTTTGGTTATTTTATTTTACAATACAATTTTTAATTATTATTATTAATTAAAATAGAAATGTCTATTTTTTGAGAGTATAAATTATATATATTAAATGATAATTATTAAATGATATAAAATTACTATATAATACAGCAAAGATACATAATAAATTATTTAAACTAAACATTGAAGAAAAAATAGAACCGATTTTAAATCAAATAGCATATATTGAGTTAAAAAAACAAAAATATTCAATAAATTTCTAACATATTACAATTATTAAAGAGGATCTGTCGTGTCGTATTTTATGCATTTAAATTAAATTATAAAATATATTATACAACAAATGCCTTCATTTAATATATAACTATTATCTCAAGTTAAGCATTATTATTCCATGTTGTGGAAGTGGCAACATTCTTATTATCCGTGGAACTTTCACTTTGACGAATTTGGATACACGATAACTTGTTGAGATTGTAATTAGTACTAATTGCATTCCGCTTGTGAATGTCATATCTCAGCATGCATAAATTATTAACCATTAAAAAATTTTTTCGCATAATTATATAATGCTTTTTTTTGTAAAGAACTATTATTTTATTTTATAGAGAGGAAAACATTGTTAAACAACCTTAATGGCGACTTTCGACCGGGCGAACTCACAGCTATTATGGGTCTTTCAGGCGCTGGAAAATCTACATTAATGGATATCCTAGCAGGTTTTACGTTAGTATAAAATTAATGCTACACTCTGATCAATTTTATCTTACGAATGGATGAAGAAAAGACACAATTACCAGCTTATTATAGATTTTATTTGACACTAAGCGTGACGGAGGATAATAAATGTTTTAACGTTCACTATTATTATTTAGTTATTATAAAAGTTACTACAAAAGATCTACATTAAGATGATGATTAATACATAATTATAAAAATAAAAGTTATAATGTTTTTTTTTGGCCTCTTTTGTAATGTGAAGTATTTTTCATTCTAATTCAATAGCGAGAGATTACATACACGCAATAAGAAGATTAAGTATTAGATTTAAAATTAAACAGATAGAAATATTTAACAAACATTAAGTGATTGAAATTAATATAAAAAATTTTGTTTTATTAATAAAAATTATTAAAAATTTATGTTAAATTTAAATTATTATATACAATATATATTTTATTTATGATACGTTTAGACTTTTTCTCTCTTTATATTAAGAATTATATTAAGGACCTTTTCATTTAAAAAATTGTTTAAATATGTTATAAGCTGAAGATTTTATTCAAAGTATTCTAAATATTCATCCGAAAAATGAAATGTTAATCCGAACAAAAAAATCTTAATTATCAATCTGATAATCGTTTAAAACAAAAACAGAATGATAAAAACTTGAATTTAGATATTATGCGGGTAATCTTGATGGGTTTTGATTAGCAAAATTTTCTTGTATTGTAAAAATTTTTTTTGTAGATTTTAAAATATAAATTATAGATTGCATTTAAAATTCCACACCGCACTAGAGCCGCGTATGTTAATTCAGTTGTTCCTTAGATAGAATTGTGCGTGTATAACATTGGAGTCACGATACACGTGCATGGACGCATTAAATTACGTAATCTTCAATATCAATATCCGTTCACTTTTTAGGTGCATCTTAGGTATCATGATGCATTGCAATATCACAAATATAAATGAACTTTTAATCTTATCTTCTTCACACACTCTTATTTTTTTACGCATCCTTATCTTCTTTTTTAAACGTTTCCCAATTATAAATGTGACAATTGGTTGGCAAATTATTCAAGGACACGTACTAAATATTGACAGTTAATTTTTTTATCAGTTATAATTACTATATTAAGAAGAATGGCAGGTTAATATTGTGTACCTTCTAACAAGCGACACAGTACAACATAGTGATCATCTCATCTTTGCTTAACATTGGCAAACAACAAGGATGTGATGATCCATTGTGTTACACCGTGTCATCTGTGTCGTTTGTTGGAAGGCACACATTATTAGTTACAGTGACTGCAGCGTTCAGCAGAAAAAGTAGCTTTATAGCCATTGCAAAATTCTTTAAGATGACTAATCTTGCTCTTAAATCCTCACTGAATCTAAATGTATAAACCAATTATATATTAGAGAATTTTACACTAGTTGCAAGGCGGCTTTTTCTGTTAAACGCAGCCAATTCTTGCTTCCAAATAAACATATTTCAATACATAAATTATATATTCACGTATATATTAATAGAGAGAAATTATGATATTACGAATTAGCGATATGTTACATTTCAGAACAACCTCAGTTACTGGTAGAATCATGATAAACGGACGAAAACGAAATATGTCAGAGTTTCGTAAATTATCCGCCTACATAATGCAGGATGATAATCTGCAACCATTTTTAACAGTGCAGGAAGCTATGTTCATTGCTGCTGATCTCAAACTAAGTTTGAATCATCATCAGAAATCGCAAAAGGTAGTATTATAAATATTTTTTTTTTATATAAATATAAAATTCTTCAAGGGTTAAAATATTTACAATGGGAAATATGTAAACTAATTGCCGGTGAAAAAAATTTATTACGTTGCAAAACAATTTGCGTTTTTATCTGTAAAGAGAATGTGTTAAGTCAATTATATCCTTTTCCATCATTATTCTACACTGTTGTTTTTAATTTTCTTTTAAGATGATAATTACAAATAGATTCTAAAATAATCTGCATTTTTATAAAGCAATTAATAACATGTGATTTTAGTACGAATAAGCAAAATTAAAATAATAAACGTGAATGTCAATTAAGATGTAACAACTTCATAATAACTTAATAACAAATAACTAATCGGTTGGAATGCTAATTGAAATTTAATATCAAGAAGCTAATATGCGTATTATTTGAAAATTTATATTTAAAACTAAACATAACAAGTGATTTTGATCCATCTAATTTATTAAAAATATTTATAATATATTAATATAAATAATGTTTAATAAAAATTTCTTAAGAGTTGCAAAAATTTTACCATGAATTAAATTGTAAGTGATACGCACATTAGCTTTTATTTTATAATAATAAAGTTATTTAATTGATCTCGATAAGTAGAGATTTTACTCATTGTCAGTATAATTACATAATTTAATGAGATATTATATCGAAGTTCTCTAATTGACGGATAAAAGTTAATTGATGTAATAGATCGACAAAATATTAGTAGCGATGGGTCTCGACGAGTCTCGTTACATGATTATTGGCGTACTTAGCGGAGGACAAAGAAAAAGACTCGGCATCGCACTTGAACTGATCAACAATCCACCAGTTATGTTTCTTGATGAACCTACGAGGTAGGTATTACATGATTTTTTTAGCGAGACATTTTTAATCACGTACATACTTTTTATATATGTATAACTGTCTTTATCTTTTTAGTGGTTTGGATAGCACTTCTTCAAAGCAATGCCTAGCACTTTTGAAACAATTAGCGCAAGAAGGACGAACTATAATTTGTACGCTACATCAGCCGAGTGCAATCCTCTTCAATATGTTGGATCATCTTTATGTGATTGCTAATGGCAATTGCGTTTACACGGGTAGCACGTATAATTTGGTGCCATATCTAAATAGTATAGGATTTGTCTGTCCGACACATTATGATCCTGTTGATTTCTGTAAGCTATATCTTTTTAAAACCGACAAACTATTGTGCAAAAATCTTGGTAACATAAACTTAGAACTCTTCTTCCATGTATAGTGATGGAGATATGCAATGGCGATTATGGTCCCCACATATCCAAGCTAATGGAATTGATCGAGAATGGGAAAAGTAATAAATGGAGATCGACGAAAACCGTTTATTTAAATAAAAGCCAAGAAACTACTACCTTGCAACAGGTTGCTAAAAGATCATATTCCTTCGAAATGGAATTCAGACATACTCCACATTATATTGACAATTTTTGGAAGCAACTCTGTATTCTTATCAAAAGAAATGTAATTAGATTATTTCGCGATAAGGTAATATTGTTATACGTTGCGAATTTTATTCATAAGATATGTTTTTCTTTAAGAGAGAGAGAGAGAGAGAGAGAGAGAGAGAGAGAGAGAGAGAGAGAGAGAGAGAAAGAGAACTACTTACTAAATATCGAAAAAGAATAAGAATTAATGTCATATAAATGTTCAGTTGAATGAGAAATAAGTTATATAAATTCAATTAGTTAATTACCCTACAGCACAAAGTTGCACAAAAATTGTAGTAACACTGCTGCAACATTGCAGCAATATTGCGAACATTTTGCAGTGATATTGCTGCAAATTCTGTGCTGTATGGATTTATATATATTATAATGTAATTTATCATATTACATCGAAAGTATTAACGTTAACATTAATACGGAATTTTAAATTCTTTTTATTTTTATTTACGTAGGTATTAATGCTCACACGGATATCAATGCATTTGACAATTGCTTTGATTGTTGGTGCATTATACTTTAAAATTGGCCAAGATGCTGCTTATGTTTTAGACAATTATAGTCTATCATATTATAATATTATGTTTCTCACGTATAGTGCATTTAGTGCTACAATGGTCACGAGTAAGTTTATTGTAATTAGTTTAATTTTCAATCTAATTTTAATGTTATATTAATTTAATATAATATAGCAGAATAAAAATTTGCAATATAAATTATATTAAAAAAACATGTATAAAAAAACATTTTGTGAGCAGAATAAAAATGTGCAATATAAATTATATTGCAAATTTTTATTCTGCTCACAAAATGTTTTTTTTTTTTTTGAGACCGCTTTTCCTTGCCCGGTTAAGCTTTAATAATTTTATGATTCAATACGCGCAGTATTCTGAAATACAACGTCAAATTCACATATATTTTTTTCTGTTTTGCAGTTCCTTTGGAATTACCGATATTAAAACGTGAGCACTTCAATCGTTGGTATAAATTACAATCGTATTATTTAGCGGGCAAAGTGGCAGATTTTCTGGTCCAATTTATTTCTACGTTTATTTATACAGTCATAGTATATTACATGAGTGGCCAGCTTCCTGAAAGTAGAAGATTTGGGTTGTACATGCTCATGTGCTTTGTTGCCAGTCTGGTTGGTCAAACGATTGGATTCATTGTAGGGTGTTCGCTAAAGATCCAGGTTTGTAATCTATTTTATTCATTTATAATTCCAATTAATCATTTATATTAACGATTATATGTATTTTTTGTATCTATTTTTATTTTAAAAATATTTTAAGAATAATTGAAGGAAGGACACTGGGGAAAAGACTTAAGAAAATACAATTCATCTATTGTACAATTTGTAAATTGGTATATTATTTCAGAATAGCGTAATTTTTGGACCATTTGCAATTATGCCGTTCGTTGTGCTTAGTGGTTTTTTTGTACATACTAAAGACGTGAATCCCTACTTTGTTTGGCTATTTGACATATCGTACTTCAAATATGCTTTTGAAGGAATATTAATGGTGGTTTATGGGTAAGAATTAATCTTCTACTTTGATATATGATAATAATTGATATTTGATGTATTTTTCATAAGATAGTTAACCCTCAGTATCCATATCTCAAAAAAGTGTACCTATCTACCCACATTCGGATATTTATAACCCAGCATTTTTTTTTTGCTTATATCTCAAATTCTAGTGCATCGATTTTAACTAATTTTTTTTTATCTATCGTTTGAAGACTGAAAAAAATAATTTTAGAAAGTCTAAAATGTCGTAGTACAAAAGATATTTTGTAATAAGTGAAAAGGGATCGGAAAAAAAGGGATCTGAACTATGCAAATCGGGGGAATTATGCTAAGCCTTTGTGGGTACTGAGGGTTAATGCATTTAAACTGTAATGCATTTATTTAAAAATTTTCAAGTTTAAATATTTACCCGGAAAAAAAATTTTATATATAATTATATAAAATTGTATA